GGATCCCACCTCTTTACTAACAAAAAAAAAAAATGGTTAAAATAAAACTTAAATCAGCCGGGCAGTGGTGGCGCACACCTTTAATCCCAGCACTCGGGAGGCAGAGGCAGGTGGATCTCTGTGAGTTCGAGGCCAGGCTAGACCAACAGCCTCCAAAACAATACAGAGAAACCCTGTCTCGTAAAACCAAAAAAATAAAATAAAATAAAACTTAAATCAGTATTTACTGCAAGCAGCATTTTGTCTCTTATACAGATGCCTGTGGATTCCACAGCACTTTACTCTTACAAATGCATGTGAACATGTGCGGGCACACACACACACACACACACACACACACACACACACACACACACACACACACACTGAAATCTCAGAAAAATCTGACGCCCTCTTCAGGCGTCCACAGGTACTGCATACACATGATACATAGGCAAAATAAATGACCTTACACATGAAATAATTAATAATAATAAAGACCAGGAATGAAAACAGGATAAAATTGAATTAGTGAGACAAGTCTCTGTATTAGTTATTTTCTTGTTGTAACCAAAAAAAAAAAAAAGGACTGGTAAACACAGCGTAAGGGAGAATGTATTTTGGTTCACAGTTGGAGGACGTAGTTTGTAGCCGCAGGAGGATGAAGCGGCTGCTTACCTCGCGTCCAGAATTAGGAAGCAGAGAGAGGAATATCACTTTTCCTTTTTGTTCCGTCTGGGACCCTGGCCCGTGTATGCCACTGCCCATGTCCAGGGTGGGTCTTCCCGCTGCAGTCAACCTTCCTGGAAAACACCCTCGAGGACACGCCCAGAAGTTGGTTTCCCTGGTGATTCTAACTATAACTCCAGTCTAGTTGACAATGAAGATATAGTCATTACAGTCTTGATTTGTTTGATGGTAAGAATAGTAACATTAGCCAGGTCATAAGCTCTCTAAGAAGATGAGTGAAAATATTGCATATAAAAGTGCTTGGCCCAGGCATGGTTTATACTTGGTTTTGATAACCAGTAACTAATTTTATTTGATAAAATCTATGGGGGTGGAGCTGAAGAGAAGCCTCAGTGGTTAAGAGCACTTGTTCCTCCTCTAGAGGTCTGGAGTTCAGGTGGCTCACTCCAGTTCTCGGGGATACTATACCCTCTTCTGAGCCCCATGAGCAGGAGCACACACATACTGGTGTGCAAAACACTCATACATAAAATAAAGGTTTTAATTTAATTTTTTATTTTTATTTATTTATTTTTGGTTTTACGAGACAGGGTTTCTCTGTATTGTTTTGGAGGCTGTCGGTCCAGTCCGGCCTCGAACGCACAGAGATCCTCCTGCCTCTGCCTCCCGAGTGCTGGGATTAGAGGCGTGCACTAGTTTAAAATTTTTACATTTTACACTGTGAATGATATATATGTGAAGCAAAGTATTTAAGGAAGAACTTTTTGGTTTTTTGGTTTTTTTGACACAGCATTTCTCTGTGTAGCCCTGACTGTCCTGGAACTAATTCTTTAGACCAGACTGGCCTCAAACCCAGAGATCTATCTGCCTCTGCTTCCTGAGTGCTGGGAAAGTGTGTGCCACCACTACCAAGTTAAGGAACAACTCATTTAGACATTTGTCAAAGACAGTAAAGAAAACTATTCAGGAGATGTTGTAGGGAAAGAAACTGTGCTCAAGTCCCAAGTATAAGCACAATCAGAGACTTATAGCTAGAAGCAGAGTTGATTGGGGTGGTCTGTGGATAGAAAATTTCTCAATTGATTTCAAAGCTAGGCTACAGGAATTCTTTTTTTTTTGTTGTTTTTTTTGTTTTTTGAGACAGGGTTTCTCTGTAGCTTTGGAGGCTGTTCTGGAACTCACTTTGTAGACCAGGCTGGCCTCGAACTCACAGAGATCCGCCTGCCTCTGCCTCCCGAGTGCTGGGATTAAAGGCGTGCGCCACCAACGCCCAGCAGCTACAGGAATTCTTATGACCTATACTACACAGGATTCCTGCTGAAGGCAGCCAGGGTGATGAGTTGGAAAGTGTAGAAGTAAAATTGTTTTTGTTTTTGTTTCTGAGATAGGGTCTCATATAACCGAGACTAGCCTCAAACTTGCTATATAGTCAAAGATGACCTTGAACTTTCTGATCCTGTTTCTGTCTCTCAAGTGCGGAGATCACAAGTATGCCACCACACCTGGCTTGCTCAGTTCTGAGGATCAAACCAGGGAGGGGTTCGTATAAACTAAGCAAGCACCCTACGTCCTGAGCTACATCCCCAGCCCACAGTGAAGAATTGAATTCATATTGAAGGTGACCAAGGGACAAGGGCAGGGAGCTTTGCCTAAACTTACTCAGGAGAATTCTAGTTGAAACTGGACTCAGAGCCAGGGCAGAAATCAAAGCCAGGTCAAGAGGAGGATTCAAGAGGACTCTGACCCATATTTTAGTTCTAGTCTTTATCCAAAGGAAATCTCATGAGAATTACTGTAGTTATCCAAGCAGTGGTGGTGTACACCTTTAGTTCCAGTATATGGGAGGCAGAGGCAGAAGAATCTCTGTGAGTTGGAGGCCAGCCTGGTCTACAAATCAAGTTCTAGGATAGGCTCCAAAGCTGCAGAGAAACTCTGTCTTGAAACCTGTCCACCAAAAAGAATAACTGTAGTTGTTTCTTTTTTTTTTTTTTTAATTTACTCTTTGGCTTTTGGGGGCCTGCTACCCAGCTCCCAAATAAATACATGGAGGCTTATTCTTTCTTATGAATGCCCAGCCTTAGCTTGGCTTCTTATTTGTTTGTTTATTATGTATGCAGTGTTTTGCCTGCATGCCAGAAAAGGGCACCAGATCTTATTATAAATGGTTTTGAGCCACTATGTGATTGCTAGGAATTGAACTCAGGACCTCTGGAAGAGCAGCCAGTGCTTTTAAACTCTAAGTCATGTCTCCATCCCCCAGCTTGGCTTATTTCTATCCAGCTTTTCTTAACTTAAAGTATTTTATCTACTTTTTACCTCTGGGCTTTTCTCTTTATCTATCCTATATACCTTTCTGTAATGAGAAATGAGTCACACCAAGGATGTGGGGGTGGGGTGGGGAGAAAGGTATTTGGATATTTATTAAGATAGAGAGAAGTAACTTACATGAAAAGCTGAGAACTGGTCAGTGTTTTGTGGTCTCTGAACTTCGGCCGGAATCAAAGAGAACAAGCTTTCCTTTATTTTCCCCTTTTATCTCTCGCCTTTCCCAGGTCCCTCTGTCCACGCCCCAAAGGGGCATGGTCAGTATCTCAAGTATGTGAGATCTCCCCTCCAACTCCCCTTTTAGTCTAAATAAAAGATTTAGACTTGATACAAAACTCAAACATATACAGCATATATACATAAAAGATAAGCAAATTAATATGTTAAGTGTACTCTTCCCGCCAGCCTGGTCCCAGAGCTGCGTCAGTCCCAAATGAACACACAGGACACTATATTAATTATGGGGCTGTTGCCCATTTGCTTGGTTTCTCATCAGCTAGCTCTGACTTAATTATTAACCCATAACTGCTAATCTGAGTATTTCCACGTGGTCTTCTCTTACTGGAGAAAGGGTCCGGATCTCTCACTCCTCTGAATAGGTCTCAGTTTCCCAGAATCCTCCTTGATTCCTAGTCCTACCTCCCTTGCTTCCCTATTGGCCAACAGTGCTTTATTTATACCAATCAGACAAACATATACACAGAAGGACTTCCCCCGTCACCTTTCTTTACATCTTACTCCAGGACTTGCTGTGTAACTAGGTGGCTAGCCTCTGGCATCCTCTCTCCTCTTTTTCTTCATCCTTAATCTTCTCTTTTTCTCCTTCTATTTATTCTCCCTGCCTATCCTTTCCTTTCCTTTCTCCTGCCTAGCTATTGGCTGTTAAAATCTTTATTAGATCAGTTCGGTGTTTTTTTTTTTTTTTTTGATTTTTCGAGACAGGGTTTCTCTGTATTGTTTTGGAGGCTGTCGGTCCAGCCTGGTCTCGAACTCACAGAGATCCGCCTGCCTCTGCCTCCCGAGTGCTGGGATTAAAGGCATGCGCCACCACTGCCCGGCCAGTTCGGTGTTTTAGACAAGCAAAGTAACACAGCTTCACAGAGTTAAACAAATGCAACATAAAAGAATATAACATATCTTTGTATCACTAATTAAATGTTTCACAGCATAAACAAATATAACACATTGTAAAATAATATTCCACAACAAATTACAACTAGTCAGAGTGTCTGGCATTTTTCTTCAGCTGTCAGACTAAAGGGTATCAATTGGCAGTATATAGCAGGAGAGTGTGGATGTTACATGTTTTTCTCTTTGTTTTTTGGCTTTTCAAGACAGGATTTCTCTGTGTAATAGTCCTGGCTGCCCTGGAACTCACTATTTAGACTAGCTGGCCTTGGATTCACTGAAATCCGCCTGCCTCTGCCTCCCAAGCGCTGGTATTAAAGGAGAGCACCACCACTGCCTGGCACATAATGTTCTTATAAGAAACAAAGCCAAGCCGGGCGGTGGTGGCACACGCCTTTAATCCCAGCACTCGGGAGGCAGAGGCAGGTGGATCTCTGTGAGTTAGAGGCCAGCCTGGTCTACAGAGCATGTTCTAGGACAGCCTCCAAAACAATACAGAGAAACCCTGTCTCAAGAAAACAAAATAAAAAGAAACAAAGCCATCTTTGTTTCTTAATTCTAGATCCTCTGGTGGAAACTTTAAGTCAGGACTGGGGTAGACAGCTCAGCAATAGTAGGAGGAGACTGTCCAGCACATATGAACTCATGTATGATCCCCAACACCACAAAGGAAACTTTTATCTGATTGTACAGGAGCCATACAAAACTAGTGTTCTGTAATTCCAACCTGCTTAAACACATATTACTTTAACATGAATTCCCTATGGAAGGAGCAGAGTGCTCCTCTGCCCCTGCTCTGCTGTTTGAATCTGTCCAGTTGCTCTAAGGGCGAGCGAGCACTCCAGTGAGAACTGTGTTTGATGACATGTGTGCACTAGGGTGCAGAAACTGGACACCTATCACGAGTACAAGGAGGCTGCATCTGCCTACCAGCAAGCCTGGAGCGCACTCCGGAGGAAACCACCGTTTGCATCCTGGATCAGAAACCCACCTGACTACCACCAGTTTAAATGAATGCTTGCTGCTACCAGGACCCTTCATATTGATCTGCCTTCTTCCAGAGTGCTGCACCTCTTTGGTGTCATATAGATGGAACTTGGAACCTCATCAATCTGTACTTGATTGGAGTAGCCCCTTGCTAAAATGGCCTCCCAGTAATGACTGTGGTATCTGCCTTGAGTTATGTTTCATTGGTTCTCAAATACAACATCAAAGTTTGGAACATGACGCTTTAAAAGTAATCTGCCACCTTTAATCCCAGGACTCAGGAGGCAGAGGCAGGCAGATCTCTGTGAGTTCGAGGCTAGCCTGATCTACAGATCGAGTTCCAGGACAGCCTCCAAAACAAAACAAAGAAACCCTGTCTCGAAAAACCAATAAAATAAAATAAAAGTAATCTACAGCAGTTTCTGTAGTCTGACATTGATTCGGCAAGTATGTATTGGGCTGAAATTTGTTAGAGTGTCTGGATACTTTGCAGCTCCTGGAGTAGTGAACATGTATTTCATATTTCCAGCCTGCCTTTGGGAACCACCATTTCCCAGTCCTCAGCAATCAGACGTGGTTGAAATTCACTGCACTCTCAGGCTCAGCACAGGACTAGCTTCGGGAAGCTCTGTTGTCAGACCTGTCAAGAAAGGTGGGTTAGTGGTTTGATTTGTTTGAGATAGTCTCACTATCCTTGACTTTCAGTCCTGCATTGTGGGGACAACAGACCTTGGCCAGAGACCCACTTCCCCATCAGCCTGGGACCAAGCAGCTGTAAGACAATGTTTACTAAAAACATGTTTACTAAAAACAATACAATGCCCAGGGCAATAAGTTCCTGAAAAGGGCTTGCCCACTGGAATGCCCTGACCTCGACCTTATCCAAAGACTAACCGCCTCTTCTGACACACCCAAGTCAGTCTCTGGTGTCAGAGCAGAACCAGCCAGGGGTAAGACAGGGAGCAGAAGCTTTTCTGGAACGAAGCCTTTCTTGGGAAGTTTTCTTGAGCCTTTTTGGGGCCTGCTTAAAGTTTTCTTTACATCGTTGACTGGTCTCTGTGTCATCAATCCCGACACCCTCCACAGTCTCAGATACAGGCTGCGCAGCAGGCGCGGCACTGCATCAACCTTCCAAGTGCCAAGATAATAGGCATAAGCCACTATCATAACTAGCCCAAAATATTCTCCTTCTCTCTTTCCCTCTCCTTCCTCTTCTTCCTACCTCTTCTTCTTGAGACAGGATCCTTGAACTCACTATGCAGCCAAGGATGACCTTGAATTCTGATCTTCCTGTCTCTGCCTCCAAGTGTGACACAATACTTAGTTTCCAGGAATCTCTTCCGATCAGGGTTGTAGGGACATAATCTTGAAACTGCCAGTATGACTTTTCCCACCACATAGAGACCCCGCTGAGAATGAAGGCAACCACTGCTGCTTGACCAAGCTCCAGCGTTTCAGCAGTGCAGACCACACTTCTCCAGCGCCTTTCCACTTTCATGTTTAATGATTCTCAATATCAAAGCCTTTCCCTTGGGAAATTTTGTTCAGGCTTTGGTAAAGGATAAACATGTGTACAGTGTAACCTCTCTAAACAAAATAATTCTTTGGGAAAAAAAAATCCTCCCACAGTGGAACCAGGAATTCCATTGTGCTCTCCTAATTAACCAAGAAAAGAAAGAGATTTACTAGACATACCTATTCCCGAGGATGAAATGTCTACAATTCAGATCCGGAGCCTGAGGCCAGTAAGGGCAAGAGTTGAGTAAACAAAAATATAGAAAAATCAGGATGGTACTATATACTGGGAAAAGAGTAGGACATCAAGTCCTTCATTTTTGGGATTGTGTGAGGGGAACAGGCCCATATAGTAAGACTAAGAAATTGTAGTATAAGCCAGGTGTTGGTGGTGCACACCTTTAGTCCCATTACTCAGGAGGCAGAGGCAGGTGAATCTCTGCGAGTTCAAAGCCAGCATGGTCTACAAAGTGAGTTCCAGGATAGCCATGGCTGTTACACAAAGAAGCCCTGTCTCAAAAAAGAAAAGAAATTGTAGTATAGTGTCTGCTTCCCAGAAGTCCTTTTCCCAAGGTCAGGCATTTGGATAAGGATCTCCTTTCCTTTGGGAGCTTGAGGAAAGTTCCTACTTAATGAAGCACTCCTTATCTATAGCAAGCGGAATTTGTGGTCCTTCCATTAAGATATGGCCGGGCTTTGGTGGCCCACGCCTTTAATCCCAGCACTCAGGAGGCAGAGGCAGGTGGATCTCTGTGAGTTACAGGCCTGCCTGGTCTACAGAGCGAGTTCCAGGACAGCCTCCAAAACAATACAGAGAAACCCTATCTCGAAAAACAAAAACAAAAAAAACAACAACAAAAAAAACCAGATATGACTGGTTGTCAGAGACCTCCAGCCATCAACCAGGTACGGCTGCCTCAGGTACTCATAAGAAAAGACCCTCATAGAAAGTACGTGACTTGGGACCACCTTGCTACCTGCCAAATTCCAGAAACAGACCTGCGGCTTATCTAGGGCGTAGGCTTAAACAACAGTAGGTGGATTGGGAAAGATAAAGTTAGAGTCTGCAGTTAGGTTACCAGAGGACACAGGATGCCCTAGCCATCCACTGACCTTCCGCTCCACCAGGTTCATCGCAGCTACAGCACATACCCCACTCCTTCCCCTTCCCCTATATAAATCCCTTTGGGATGAATAAAGTTGTCACCTTGATCAGACCCTTGTCTTGGCGTCCGTCCCCCCATCTTTTTCCTAGGTGTCCACCAGACCCACGTTGAGTGTCCTGCGGGTCGAGACAACTAGTGCCTGTGGTCAATTCAATTCCTCAAGCCACGCTCCAGCTCACATGCCTCTCCATTTAATCCTGTGTGCATAGGTATAGTCTTTTTTTCAATTAACCACTGCTGGCACCATCCTGATTCACCTTTAGTCCTTCAGATCATGTCTGTCTCCTCCCCACCACTACACACACAACCACAACCACACACACACACACACACACACACACACACACACACACACACACACACGCGCGCGCACCAGGCAGGCAGCAAAGGAGAAAACAGCCAGAAGCCCTAGTATCCAACCTGCACCCAAACTAAAATATGAGAAGGCACCTGCTTTGTTTTGTCTGCAATTTATTGGTGGGCACCACACATGTCACAGCGTATGAGTAGTAGTAAGCTATTTCATCAGGTCCCTGTTATTAGGGTTGTTTTATTTTTTTGTTTGTTTGTTTTTGTTTTGTTTTTCCAGACAGGGTTTCTCTGTGTAGCCTCGGCTATCCTGGAACATGCTCTGTAGACCAGGCTAGCCTGAAACTCACAGAGATTATCCTGACCCTGCCTCCCAAGTGCTGCAATTAAAGGTGTGAGGCACCCCTGCCTGGCAGAGTCGTTTTCTTTTTAATTAGTTCCAAAATGCCTTAAATTCCTACAGTAAATCAGCAACAGACTTAGCAACTAGTCCTATTTAATTGTCATCAAAGAGACAGCTCTCAGTTTATTCCCACCTTGAAGAACTGGCTATAAATAGCTCTCCTCTTTGTTACTCAAGGTCACTATTTTTTATAGTTTTGTTTTGTTTGAGACAGGATTTTTCTGTGTAACCCTGGAATTTTCTGTGTAGACCATGCTGGCCTAGAACTTAGAGACCTACCTGCCGCTGCCTCCCAAGTGCTGGGATTGAAGGCATGTGCCTCCACTATCTAGATATATTTTTTAAGATTTTATTTACTTTATGTATGAGTTCTGTATCGGCTTGTACACCTTTATTTCCAGAAGATCCCACTATAGACGGTTGTGAGCCACCATGCAGCTGCTGGGAATGAATTGAACTCAGGACCTCTGGAAGAGCAGCCAGTGCTCTTAACCACTGAGCCATCTCTATAGCTCCCCACTGTCTGGATTTTTATAAGATTTTGAAAATAATAAAGACTTAAATTGTGAAGGAATAGCCGGGCGATGGTGGCGCACACCTTTAATCCCAGCACTCGGGAGGCAGAGGCAGGCGGATCTCTGTGAGTTCGAGGCCAAACTGGTCTACAGAGTTCCAGGACAGGCTTCAAAGCTACAGAGAAACCCTGTCTCTCAAAAAATAAAAGAAGAGAAAAACTTAAATATAATCCTAAAACCTTAGACACTGGAATGTGGATAGAAAGCACCAAAGGCTAGACACTTAGACACTAGAGGCAGCTTCATCTTGACTTGGACCTGTTTTCTCAAGAGATCAGGGTGGTACCTAAACATCCAACAGCTTACTTTCTTTTTTATGCTCTTAAAGCCCAAGTTTAGGATTGTATGGACATTTCTAGTACTGGCAGCTGCCTGATTCTTTCAGACTGTCTCATGAAACCTAGACAGCCCTCGAACACCTTCTCTTCCTAAAATCCCAAGCCAGAAACCTGTGCTCCCCATATCGCTATCTCACTCCTGGTCTGTCCCCAGCCACCAGCAACATTTCTCTGGTCTGAGCCTTGCGCCAGACCCATGAACACCTAGGGCTACAGTGGCTCTGGATGTCATTTGACTGTGTCTCTGTTATGGTCCTCTCCAGACTCCAGCTGCAGCAAGCTGCTTTCTTCGGTGAAGTCAGAGGATATGAATCACACTGCCCTCACCTTCATGAATGTCCTTGACACCCACCCACAACCTCACTGGGGTTCGTAGACCAACACCAGGGACAGGCCAAGCAGCAGAACAGTTTGCCCTAATCATCAGAGTCTAGGAGAGGCAGAGGAAGTAGGCCTTACTCGGGCTGGGCAAGTGTTCTACCACCCCACCCCAGTAACTTTTTTAAACACTGAAGTGATGCTGCTTCGGAAATGGAGTCATAGCATACCTTAAGCAGCTCTACCCATAATTCTACAAAACTGTGTCTTCATTTTAAAAAATCATCCTAGCTTGGCACTGGAGGGAAGATTTCACTTTCACCAATGCCAGTTTTTTGTCTGTATTCCTAAGTAGGTCTAATGTTATGACTGTATGTGTGTAACTGTTCTTCTCAGTTTGATTCAGGCACAGTGACATGTTCATGGTCCTGCTCCAGGACAGGGTTAAGTTCGGTGTTTTATTGAGTGCATCAGTGCCAAGCATGAGCTCACTGTCTGAGGAAATGAAGTTGCTGTGGAGAAAAGGCTGCCCTGGCTGCCAGTGCCTTGCTGGAGAAGCACAGACCTTGTGTGATTTGCTTGTGTCTGTGGCTGCTGGAAAGCTGTCCCCAACCAGACCATGACATTTTTGGCCTCAAGACTGTTCCAAAGCCAGAGTTTCCAATTTCCAGGCACCAGCTCTCTTTTGGCAAGTTCAGTTTCCAAGTACCACTTGCTCCTGTGTGATGAGAAAGCCCACAACAGCACAACTGGGCTCCGGTGTGTGTGTGTGTGTGTGTGTGTGTGTGTGTGTGTGTGTGTGTGTGTGTGTGTGTGTGTGTGTGTGTGTGTGTGTGTGTGTGTGTGTGTGTGTGTGTGTGTGTGTGTTAACCAGGAGTGCCTGATCTCAGAGCTAGGGAGGCAGACCTGTTGGAGAAAGTGTCCTATTTTCTGAACAGAGGAGTTTATTTTATATGTACCTCATTTTGAGGAATCATAGTTGGCCTTGACTTCCTATACATGTGAATCTCTTTGAAACTAATTATAAAAACAAAAAACTGGGCAATGGTGGCACATGCCTTTAATCCCAGCAGATCAAAGTTGAAGGCCAGATCTCTGAGTTTTAGGCCAGCATGCTCTACCAAGATAGTTCCAGAACATCGAGGGC